TCCTCCCGACCTTCTATTTATTCTCCTTTATAGACGGCACAAGCTATGCGACATATTACTCATGATGTATTCTACCATTGTCCGATCATTGAAGCGTAATATACTGTATTTCCTCAAATTTCCAACAGCCAAAATAAAGCGTCCATTGTAACATGGCACATAAGCGAACATACAAGCCACGTACAAATGTAAACAACGATCAATACATAAATCCAACAGATACATAAAACCCAATGAAAACTAGACTTTTGGTCGAGACTTCTTGGTCCCGAACCCAACAGCCTGCAGCTCTAGGAGTCTATCTTCGAAAATCATGTCTTCCTGCTTCTTGAGATCCAGACTCCGCTCCTCGAAGCCCATGTCCGTTGCATCATCGAGGCGGACTTTCGCAAGCTCAGACTCAAGGTACGCCAGTGGTCCCGAATCTCGACGAGTGTCGAGATTGTACGCACCATTCTTGAAGCTGAGTACAGTGTCGACTGCCTTCAGAACCCGCATGTGTCGTTCAAAATTGATGAGCGATAGGCCATCCTTTTCGACAACCCTCGGCATACTGCGCTGGATACTGGTCAAGTCCTTCAAATGTATGGCTGCGGGAGTGCGGTTTAGGAGGGATGATAAAAGTGAATAAAATAATCTTACGCAGCCATGGAACACAAGGACCATCACTCCGTCGGTTCAGTAAAGATCTGTACGCTTGATGGTTGCCGACTGGATCGACATATGTTGCGAGTCTCTTTAAAAGGTGTTCGATATTCTTATCAGGAGTGCTGCGCGTCAGCCGCAGACGTGCAATCGTTGTCGACTCCAAGGCTGCGACCACGGCCGCCATCGATGAGAAGTTGTTCAACTTTCGACACTCCTAAAACAAGCGACGTCAGCAAGCATCCAATTGATGCTTGGGTCTAAAACTTCACTTCTGCAGTATTGACAAAAAATTTGAATACGTCACGCCGCGCATCCAGACGGTTTGATCGAAGTATCGACTTTTTCACCCAATTGATAATTTGATTGTTTGTGATTCGCGCAGCTGTCACCTTGTTTGGCGAGTGTGTTCGTAGGAGGTGGGATATGCAATCCAGGGCTCTAATTGCCTGATACTTGTCGTTCTCCAGAAGGGTGAGGCCCACCGCGATCCCAGCTGGAGTTATGTCGTGTCCCTTGGGTATAGTCCCTGTTGGTGAAGAAGGAGCATCATCTGGTTGCGCATTCTCCGCCTGGTTGATCTAACGAGGCACTGAATGAGCGAATTAAGAAAAGTAGTAATGGACAAGTTTCCGACCATTATATCGATCTTAAGAGCAAGATCTTTGGCAGATTTGGCTATTGTCTCGGGTGTTGTTATACTGCTTGCAAAAGACTTCATTTCCTCGAGCAACGCAATATCGAGGGTATCTACAAAGTAATGCCCGAGCCATTGTTTGAACACAGTCACAATCCTTTGCCGTACTTCGGTCAGCTTCGTTGCTTTCCCAGGTACGAAAAAGTCTCACAGATAACGAGTATTCATTCGAATCTGCACATTTTGACCCATGTCCATATGGTAGAAAAGCTGCACCAACAAACGGAACAAATCTGATGTGGTTGTAAATTCTCGATACATGGACAAGAACGTCTCTCGGAACTTGAGGTCTTGCGCGTAGTCTGATTGGTTGGCATTATTAGCATACGTGGCAGACAATAAGACTGATACTCACTGCCAGAGCCGAGGAGTAATTGCTTCGCCAGACCTCGCAATGTTCCTCTCACCACTGAGCCATCCTTTCCTAACTCCACAGTACAAGGGTCCTCGGGGCCAAATTCCTCAATGTGGCGTGAATATTGACCGTCACTCGTATAAATGCTCTCAACCTCCGACCATGAAGAACCAGATGGTTCCCGAGATAAATGAGACCCAGCAGTGGTGGGCAATGAAGATGAGGTAAATTCCGGAGAATTCTGCATCGTTTGCCCAAATTCAGGCGCTGAAACCGGGCTGTCATCCTCTGGGATGGAATTCTCCCTGAGAGCGATTGAAAGGGCTGAAGGAGTATAGGAAGAGGTCGACCTTCGAGGAGGTGCATCAGGTAAGGTCGAACGCGAGGGTGGTTGTTTGGGAAGGTGACCGGAAGGTGTTAGGAACAAGCTCAATTTGGACGTGTCAGGTGGGAAGGATGGTCCAAGACCAGCGACTGGAGGCGTAACCTGAATTCTTGGAGAGGATGGATTCAGGTTACTGGTTGACGGGAGCACATTTGGCTGCCGCTGAGATGACTCTCGACTCGGTACAATGATTCTGCCATCCGATAAGGAAATTGCTGAATCAGTGGTCGACGACGTGTTGCTCCTCGTGCGAGTTGGAATGTAACCCTGACCAAAATAGTCGGGTGTTGTTGACGGGGATGTAGAAGGGCGGTTAGTAGGTGTCGTAAGGGTCCTCTGTGTCGAGGATGCGGTATGCGGTCGGAAAGTCCTTGATGGTTCAGACGACGAAGGCGACATCACAGGAGGTAAGTTCTTGGGTGGTCCATTTGACGCACTACGCGTATAATGTGACTTCATCTCTGATCGTACTTCTGTCATACTGGGCCTTGAGGCAGGTTCGCGTTGCCAGCATCGTTGCATCAGGTTCCACAGATGGTCAGGAATACGCGTGCCAACCGCCCCAGTCGGCCTTTCGGGAAGGGTTCCAGCAATGATATCCTGTATGACGAGCGCATCTCGTCGGCGATGAGGGTATGGCTTTTCTCCGGTTATAATCTCGAGGCAAACCATCCCATAACTCCACACATCGGTTGCCGTGGTTGCGGAGCCCATTTCAAGTGCGAGCTCTGGAGCCTGCCATCTGACTGGGCTGGCAGCCTGATCGGTATGTATTTCGCCAGCGACCTGCATGAAAATGAGCCAAAAAATTCTGGGTCATTCGCAGGGACATACTTCTTCAATTACATCTGATAAACCGAAATCAGAGATACATGCTGCCCCAGACGTAGAGATCAGCACATTGGCCTGCGCTTTGGCATTAGACGAAACAAATATATACAGACTCAAAAAAAATGACGAACAGCACGAAGATCGCCGTGAATGACTTTATTGCTGTGAAGGTATTCCAAACCGGATGCCACTTCTGTCAGGATTTTCAGCCTGTCCACTTGGGGGTGACGTGTGAAGTATGCAATGGCGTCGCCGTTATTCATCCAGGGGCTGACCTGGTTAAATTGTAAACTGGAGTGTGAGGAGGCATGTGGTTTTGACTCACAGAATAGACTTGGTCACCAAAATAAACTATCCCATATAGTCGCAAAATGTAGGGGTGTTGGAGACCCCTCCATATCTCGACTTCCTTGTGGAATCGCTAATGTGTGTGAAAGTTGGAATCAGAGATAAGATAAACAAATAATGAATTGTACAGACTTTTCGAGCGGCATCCGTGTGGTTGAGAGACCGTGCGAGCCTCAGTGCGACCTGGTACGAAAGGTTAGATGGGGTAGGTTTATCATGACGGAGACGGCACTTTTTCTTCGCCAAGCCATTCTCCTGTGGGCAATTACCATAACCTCACTGCCAAATTTCCTGGGAGGTGAAGCTGGACTTACCAGTGTATACATCATTATATGCACCGCAGATGACTGGGAAATCGCTCGTCTTGACGACTTGACCTGTGACTGCGAACCCTGGTTAGGGTGGCGGTGAACATGGGGGAAATACACTCACGATCAGTCATTGGCGGTAGGAGGCGAGTTTCATTGTGGATTTGCCACAGGCCTTCTTGGATGGCGCGAGAGTCGCTTGCAGGTGAATCCTCGTCTTGAAGCTCCTGTATCGAGGTAAGTTGCGTTGCGGTTCAAGCGGAATTGGCAAGAGCACGTGCCTCTTGGAGTGTTTGCATGACTTGCTGAACGGCAGGCGGTTGCATCGCCATGATCGCTTTCATGTCGTCTACGTTGCTGATAATCCTCTGCAATGTCTCCCTGTTCTCGGCTTGGTCGCGCTCCTGAATGGCCTTGAGATCCTGCAGGCCTCGTCCGACGCCAAAATGGCCAGCAATCTGGGTCATGTTGCCATTGGTGTGTCTGTAGGTGCTGATTGGGCGGTGTAACTCACCTGAAATCTTGCCATGCAATTCTCGATGTCTTTGTACATTTTGTCCAGAGCGATCTTGATGTCACCTTGGTGGACAAAACTCCTCAATGTGCTTTGACCGGCCCAGTTCTGGGCCGATTTGCTTGCGCGGATGATGATGCTGAGTGAGGATCAGAGGAGAAAACATGGAGCGTTCAAGTTGGCAAGGTACTCACGCTTCTACTTCATCTGCTGCCTTGAGCATCTCGGACCCTTCCATACCTTGGCTGTTTTCGCGCATGGCGAGAAGTAGCAATATGCATCGATGACTGAGCTCCCGACATTGTCCCTACGCGAGGTATGAAGAGTGAAAACAATATGTTTGAGAGCACGCGCGCACCTTGTAGAACGGGATCTTCTGAACGGCATCATAAAGGCGATAGGCTGCAGATGGAGGGTCAGGTGCACAGCCAGGGACCAAATGATTCGCTTTTCTTACATTCAGTGACGGCTGTACCCAAGCCAGGGATGCCCGATAACCCCACGAGATCCTGGAGGCTCATTTCGAGGGCACCAAGAGGACGACGGTGGTGGGTGGTGTACTATGAGTGACCGTGTCAGAATCCAAGGACTGTTGTGTTTGCTGGAGGGCGGCACTGCGTGAAGATAGGCGCCGGTGCACTGCATCTAGTTCCTGACCCAAATTATCGATTGAACTGCAAAGTGGTCGCGCCAGCCAAGTATCCAAATATAATTTTCGTATGTTGGGCGATCATGAAATGGCTTCGAGCGCGTGGTAACGGAAGTAAATTGCTGTCTCCGGAGGTAAAATTTGCTTTTGCTGGAGGTTGCCAAGCATGGTTCGAACTCAGTACAACGCAAATTAAGGCAACCACTGGCACACCCGCCCTGGAATTTAAGTCATAAAAAATGACCAGCTCTTCAAACAAAATCCGCAATGCTGAGAGTGGGGTTCGAACCCACGCGACGATACCGTCACTGGGACTTAAATCCAGCGCCTTAGACCACTCGGCCATCTCAGCCTAAACAATGCGTGACTTGAAGATGTACAACATGGGGAACTCACGAAAGGAGTGAAGTCAAGCAAAGATTGCCATAACTCTATAGTTCGTCCTCATGTATTTTTCAACCGAGAGATTGGAGTGAAGGTTTGGCGGAGTTGCGCCACATTTGCATGAGAAGTAGGAATTCTCATTTAGGAAGGTCAACTGCTTACCAATCATGTATGTGAGATTTTGGGTGGCTGGAAGAAGGTTGAATTGGCGGACGCTTTCTTCTCCTTCACCCCCGCCGTCGTCTCAAGCCCATTCCATACAGGCGAAGATGGCCATGACACGCTCTTTATCTCGTTTTCTCCGCAAGAGAAATTCCACCCTCGTTCAAGACCCGTCTTACACACTTCCTCCTGATGTCGACTATGACCTCGTAGTCGACGAAGAAGAATACGTCCACGCGACTCCGAGCACATCATGGTCAAGCCCATCTGCGGCTTCCAACATTCATGTTCCAAATGTTTTTGTTTTTCCACCAGAGGAGGAACAGGACGTGAACCCTCCTTGGTGTTACTTTGACGCCACAGAATATGCACAAGACGTATTCGATGTCGAGGAAACACTATACATCTCCCCTGATAACTCCACTCGCCGTCTGTACTCCCTTGATAACCTTGGGAAGCCCATATTCCATCGTCTTCATCAAGGTCATCCGCATGATTTGGTGAACATGCCGCACGTGAACGGGGATTCCTTACTCACCTTGGCAGCACTCGAATTGGAGGCCCAGAAGCTCACCGAACAGCTCACGCGTCTGGAGCTTGCATCCCGCCCCTCTCGTCCTTCTCCACCCGAGACATCCGAACAACGCAAGTCAATGACGTTAACTAGCCGCGCCGTAAAAGCCTTCAGGACGATTAACATCAGAAAACGGGGGCATCAATCCGAGAATCATCACAACTTTGGAGGAAGGATGTCCTTAGGAAGTCATGGCGAGAAAGATCACTTTGGGCAATTCGCCTCCACTCATGACAGTTCCACGGTTCGGCCGAGCGTGAAGCGCAAGTCAAACCTATCGAGACCGCTCTCCCAGCTGTTCGAATTCACGCAGAGCAATCGTTCTGTCGTCGATTTAGACGCCCACGGCTCATTTTACAGAAGAGGGTCGAACGTCTCTGATTCCGTTATCGATGGATATTCTAGAGAGGCGCCGGTGCAACGCTTGCCGTTGGACACCCTGAAACAATCGAAGCCACGATCCCGCTTCTCAGTTTTGAATCTTCGACGCAGTTTCTCGAATTTGTCCAAATCGAGCTCACAATCCACCGTATCATTGCAAGCGTCGTCATGCTCTGATCTCCATTCCCCACCTACACTGGTCTCATCATCTGAGCATCCAACGCCGGATGGGTCCCCACCATCACCCGACAACCCACTTACACCAACCGACGAGGACGAGCGTTATTTCACCCCTCCTCAGTCACCCCCGCCGGATTCGCCAGAGAACAAATTCACTCTTAATTCACTTCATTTTGAATCCCTGGAGCTGCGCCTGGATGACTTTTGATTGATGTGCCCTCACATACCCATCTTCCTCACTGTAACAATCCTACGGGACGTTAGGAATACCCGCATTACAATGCATTTGTACCATGTCCTCGTAACCAATCTTGCATCTTGCTGTTCGTCGCATTCACGTCAGGAACGGATGTTCTCTTTCTATACCACATTACGGGAAGAAACCAAACTTTTTTATACAGCGGATGTGGAAAACAGTTTGAATTTGTTGAATCAATACTTTTCCGCAAGAACTGGAGTGAATTAACAGCATGTTAGGAAAACAGTTGTGTTTGGTTTGCAGGGCACTCACTCATGGCTACTAGAGATGTCCAACCTGTGAAAGGATGGCTGGAGGGCAAATGTAAGGGGGTCATGCAATTGAGCAATGAAACGGTCGCACCTTCGCTTCCCCTCACCGGTCAAAGCATCATACTGCTCCCAGACATAACCTGTCCGTTCATATTCCTATGATAAGCATGAGCCCTGGCCGCTCTCGAAAAAGTACAGAATGGAGTCAAACCTTGTGGACATTCCCTATGACATTCCCCCTTAGTTCAGCATAGATCTCTCGTGCACGCGACTGGTGAGGACCAGGTTCTTTGGTATATATCTATTATCCAGCTTGATTTCGACGTCCAAAACCACATGAAGGCCTCACAAACCTTGGATAATGTGCTTAGAGCTAGATAATTCATCTGGATCCAGATCGGACCCTTCCAGTAATTCTCGCCTTGCCCAAAGTCAGGGTGGGACGCCGACAGACTTCGGATCCCGTAAGGAGACCAAAGGTGGTCCGGCGAACGAAGAATATCAAATATCGGTCCAAGGTGCGGAGATGACGGCGGAAGGAGGCCAAGAAGGAATGGGAACAGTGAGAGGTACCCTCTGTGGCAAACATGATATGACTCGTCTAGGATATCGTCAGCAACGTTTGAGGTCGATTATAAATGTCGCACACACCATCAGCATTAATGCCCACATCGCAGTACATTTGCTCCTCCTCGCTCCAGTGAAGATCTGCGGATATTGTGAGCGGCATAAGGAACTGGAAGTACACAGATATTACCTTCGATATTGTCCATGATGGCCTGTTCGATTTCGATGAATGATTTTTCATCATCCGTCTGTCCGATGAAACCGGCGATGTCCCTCATTGTCCTTGTGAAAAAGGCCATCCATGAGATCAAATCTAAGTGCAACTCTCCAGCGTGAGGAGATCCTCGTGGATAGTCGTCCATTCCGCTTGTCAAAACATGATCTGTCGACCTGCCTCGCCACCTGTATCCTTCTGTACGGCTCCGTGCCTTACGGCCATACTGTTTAATTTGGCCACGCTGTGTGCGGCGGAACCAGTCATAGTGGCGTTTTAATGGCGGATATATAGACGTAAGGTACTGGAGGGCGAGTTCACGGGACTCGAGGTGAGAGTTCCCAGGGTGTGCACTTGGGGCAGACGACGACAATGGTGTTTGAGAGCCAGCCATACCGTAGCCCATATCGAGCCCCAGATCAGCGTCAGTTGGACCACGAGAGTTAAATGTCTTGAAACGCTCAATAAATGCAGTGACGGCCATCGTCAAGGTAGGTGGGTTGGCATAGGAAGGTACTTGCGTCCAAAATTCAGTTGGAACCTTGGGTAATGCCTGTCACACAGGAACAGAAGCTGCTGGGGAAGGCATACCTTGCTTCGTGCTTCGTCACCGAGAATTTGTTCCCTGCCAACCCAGCCTTCTTCGTCAATGAGTCCAATCCAATCTTTAAGAATTTCTAAGCTGGACCAGGCTTGGTCAACAAACTTGAAAATGCATATAAATAAGTAAACGAGTACCTGAGGTCATTATCCCAAGCCCCAATGTGTATCAAATGGAATCCTTCGTCCCTGTAAATGGTGGGTCATTACCCTGGAAATTTACGCGTACGCAAGTGGTTACCAGTAAAATCCTCGGGGAAAGAAACTTCGACTAGGCGTGGCCGTCAGTAGAGCCCTAGGTTCGGTGTACCGTGCACCAGCCGATTTCGTTCCCTGCTCCTCGATGGCACCCAAAGGGTCACCATCTTGGTCCCACTCATGCGCAAATCCTGGATCGACGAGCGAGTTACCATAGAAGTATCCAACTCCTCCTATTAAATTTGATGTGATAGCTTTCGAGAAGGCAACGAGGGATGGGGAAGAATCCGGAGGCAAGGGAAATATTTCTTGGAACCTCTGTGCGTACTTCTCTTGGAATGCAGGGATTCCGTGGTCAAGGACCGCGGCTTATGATTGTGTCAATCCTACGAAAACACTAGTCGTGTATGACAACTTACAAGTTAGTTTTTGCTTGGCACTGCCACTTTCAAAGAAAACATCAAACTGGAATTCGCCATTAAACGTCTTTTGAACAGCAAATAGATTGCTACCGGTGTAGACTTCGTCAGGTAACTGGAGGGTAAATGACGGATCTGGGACACCGTTCGCTGGGTCTTTGTACGGCGTAAGGGCTTCCTGGGCGTGCTTCAAGATTGCATTCATGAGGTGGTCTGCAATAGTGCAGATTAAGTTATTCATAACATCACAAAAATGCTTTGCTCTGACCGCGAGCTTGCCAGACATCGCCTGTGGGAACTCGAGCTCCCATGTAATGTGTTTTCCCAATTCTATCAAAGAACGCAGCAGAATGTGCACCGGTCGTAACTGCTTCATTGTCAGGTCCTGGTGATTGGTTCAATGAGCAGCCAATGTTTGAGCAGTGGGTTCAATACCATCTACAATGCGAAGCGTGAAATCGCCAAGATCAGGTGTCGTGCCAGAAAACTTAACAGGGCCTTCAAGACCCTGAATAACATTGGATTAACGGAAAGATATATATTAATACAAAACATAATCCTACATGTTCGTCTTCGTCCGTTTCCATGTCAATGCCACCCAGACCGTCGATGCCCAGATAGAATATGAAAGATGTCCTCGATGGAATTTCGGGTTTCAGTGGTACACCTTTTATTCGTGCAGCCCAGCTGCCGCCGTGTTCACCACCTGGTACTTTGAGGAGTTCGGTGGTAATTTTGACATTATTCATTGGATCATTCAGTTCTTGAATTCCTCCTTCTCGAGCGTCGTACTCGGTCCAGGTGTATCCAGCGAGTTCGTCACCTTGCTCACATGCATGACGGGATTCTGAGTTTCAATATGAGTCAAATAAGATGGCGCAATGTGGCGACGTTACCAACTCATAAATGACTGGTAATCCTGGGTGCCAAACCAAATGAGCCCTGTTAAAAGAGTTTGTGGATAGCGCGGCCTGAGTCCAAAATACAAATTTGGCCTGTAGGCACCCCATAGCAAAGAGTCAGAGGAATTGGAAGCCAGGGAGAGCGGAGCCCATGCAGCAGCGAGCAGCAACCACCACGAAACCATACGTGGCGACAACAGCAGAAAGACTTGTAAAGTTTTCCGGATATGGGTTGCTGGGAGTTACAGCCGTCACAGCACG